AAATATTTTTAAATTTTTTAAATAAACATGTAATACATAATTTGTATTTTTTGATACTGTACACATTTTTGCTTGTACTTTTTCATTAGGATTTACTAGTTTTCATAAAGCCCCTTTTAAAAACATGTAGTGTGCTTTCAAAGAATCATTCCTTCGCAATTTTTAAATATTATTTTAGCTATAAAATCTTTATCTTTCACATTCTCAATTTCATATCAGAAAAAAATTATCAAGGCAGGCCATCTTCTTAGTGTTTATAGTATGCACTGATACAACGATAGCCATCGTGTTTGGCAAAGGCGTACTGTACTTAGCACTGGCAGCTCTAAAATCTGTTATACGAGGTCGGCCTGAAAAGTATCGAGCATACCTCTGCAACTCTACGCCATAATGTTGAAGTGACCTCTGTGGTGCATACACGTAAATAATAAGGCCTTACGAACTCAGCGGTTGCTTGTTGATACCTCTCGAAGTGTGGTTTCTGTGCAGCGCGTCTTTGTTTACAAAGATATTTTTGGGTTTAGAGGATTTTATGATTGTTAAGAATGACTGAAAAGCAAGATCATCGAATTTGCATTAAATTTTGCTTTTAGCTCGGAAAAGCGTGTTCTGAAACTATTCAGATAATTCAAAAGGTTTTTTAAAATATGTGTATGAGTTAAACATAAATAAAACAGTGGCTTAATCGTTTCAAACACGGCCGTACTGCTGTTAATAGTGATCCTCGTTCTGGCTAACCTTCAAAGACAAAACCATTGATTAGAAAGGTGTTGTGCACTACGAGTATTTATCAATAGGTCAGACAATAAATCAAGAATTTAACGGTAATGTTTTAAAACGTTTGTGTGAAGCAGTGAGAAGAAAACGCCTGAACTTTTGATTAAGTAGTGACTGGCTCCATCATTACGATAATGCGCCAGCGCATTCATCGAATCCTGTGCAACAGTATTTGACTATAAAATACAGTATCGTATTACTGTGACAACCTCTGTACAGTCTTAACATAGCCCCCTGTGACTTTTGGCTGTTTCCAAAACTGAAAAAAGCACTTGAAAGACAGCAATTTAATGACAAAACGACGGTTGAGAATAATGCAACGAGAGAACTTAAGATCTTCCATAAAAATAAGTTTCAAGACTGTTTCGAGAAGTTAAAACATCGCTGGAACCGTATCATTCAATCAAATGGGAATTACTTTAAAGGATACCATGCACCCGATGATGTAGAATAATTGCAGTGTGGAGTTGTAGAGGTAGGGCCGATACTTACTGGACCGACTTCGTATTATTTTAAATTTGCCAGTTTAGAACTTTTTGACATGTTGTTGTAAGTTAAATGTATTAAGGTAGTTGTACAGCAAATTGAAATATAGGATAGAAAATTATGATATTTTGCAGGATGGTAGATTAATGCATAAAAATAAGAAATCTAAATTTTTGTGACCCGAGGGTACCTATAAAGGGAGATATTCATAATTATTTGCATGCCTTGAGTTTTTGTTTACATGCCAATTCAACATGGCGTCTTATGGGAAACCGCGGATTAATCCAAACGATTCTTCAAGTAAACCACATTTTTCAATCAAAAAAATTTGTATTTGATAATAGAATATATGTATTAGAATACAAATAGTAAATGATTAGTTTTCAATGAATAATAATTGATCAATATTAATGTATACGTTATTTAGTACATAAGGTGCGAGATAAGTTTGTTTTATTTTAATTCGAGATTTAATAGATACAATCAACTTTACTTCGGTAATGAAGCAGAGCTAATCGAGACTCGGACGGCTCACGACTCTCATGCTCATACTCTTTCTATTGTCATTACGATTAATAAAGGCTATGTAAACTGCTAAATAAAGAACTTTATTTAACTCTACAATTGTATGAGAATAAGATGTGTTTCAAACATAACAAATATGAATACAAACAAAAAAAATTTTTTTTTTGTTCCGAATTATTACTATTTTGAAACTGACATTATATTAGATTAGAAATACTTATTAGAATTAAATAAATACATAGTCAAATGGAAGCCATTAAATCTTAGGATAATTCATATTTATTTAAAGCTTGTGGATTTAACAGGCCGTATACTTATATATGGATTAATATGTATATAACATGTCCTACTTACTTGCAATACATCATTCTTGTTTTGAAGTAGATTTTCGTAAGTATCCTGTTTGCATTCAACAATTTCTTTAACATTTGTAAAAGTTTTGCAATCACAACGTTTTTCTTATTTTATAATCTTAGATAGTATAAAATCAGAGGTACTGGCAACTTTTTTTTTAAATGTCCTTCCTTGTATAAAAAAGGATTATCATAGAACACGTTACCATATATTTCTGCATATTTAGCTGACTAAAGTGCCTTATATATTTTTGATTCATCCTTTTGAAACTCTTTTGTTTCTATGCCTTCATAAAACTAATTTTTAGGTTATCGTTTCAAACATAGTTTTTTTGCCATTTATCATTTGATCAATTATTTTTTTATTTGGTTTGAAATGCCAAAGTCCACCTATATCTTTAGTTTATTGTGCAGCAAACATAATTGCACGCATAGGCTCATAGTTCAACCTTGATCTGAGACCACTTTTTTCAAGAAAAAGTTTACTCCATGTTCTTTCGAGCGTTGCGTTGGATTTGGGAATGCATATAATACCACCCAGAACGAAATTTGCTATATTCTTATATGAATACTTATCATTCTAACGATAAGCTTTAACCTCGTATCAAAAAGTATCTGTTTCGTACTCTCTCATTTTTTGAAAATTATCATATTTGGGTAATTTTATTTATTCTAGATTTATTTTATCAAGCAATTTAAAGACTTCAGGATTAATATAACTTTTCGGAAACATGGAAATACTTAATGTAAGGTAGGATATCTGTTGTGAAATTTATCTTTTAAAGCATTTTTCTGATGAAAGCATATAACTGTATACATTCGAGGATTATCAAACTCATTTCTTTTTTGCATTTGCATACTTATATCAATATAAAAATCTAGACATCATTTTTTTAAAGATGTAAGTTGTCTTCAGTAGTAGAAATTAATTCTATGAGGAACTCTGTGTTTTGCCTATGCGTATATCGCTTATACTTTTGTAATGACTTTTATTCGGTATATCAATACCATCACGAGAAAAATCGTTTGCGTGTCTTTAAATTTATTCTTTATTTATAAATATTTTTAAATTTTTTAAATAAACATGTAATACATAATTTGTATTTTTTGATACTGTACACATTTTTGCTTGTACTTTTTCATTAGGATTTACTAGTTTTCATAAAGCCCCTTTTAAAAACATGTAGTGTGCTTTCAAAGAATCATTCCTTCGCAATTTTTAAATATTATTTTAGCTATAAAATCTTTATCTTTCACATTCTCAATTTCATATCAGAAAAAAATTATCAAGGCAGGCCATCTTCTTAGTGTTTATAGTATGCACTGATACAACGATAGCCATCGTGTTTGGCAAAGGCGTACTGTACTTAGCACTGGCAGCTCTAAAATCTGTTATACGAGGTCGGCCTGAAAAGTATCGAGCATACCTCTGCAACTCTACGCCATAATGTTGAAGTGACCTCTGTGGTGCATACACGTAAATAATAAGGCCTTACGAACTCAGCGGTTGCTTGTTGATACCTCTCGAAGTGTGGTTTCTGTGCAGCGCGTCTTTGTTTACAAAGATATTTTTGGGTTTAGAGGATTTTATGATTGTTAAGAATGACTGAAAAGCAAGATCATCGAATTTGCATTAAATTTTGCTTTTAGCTCGGAAAAGCGTGTTCTGAAACTATTCAGATAATTCAAAAGGTTTTTTAAAATATGTGTATGAGTTAAACATAAATAAAACAGTGGCTTAATCGTTTCAAACACGGCCGTACTGCTGTTAATAGTGATCCTCGTTCTGGCTAACCTTCAAAGACAAAACCATTGATTAGAAAGGTGTTGTGCACTACGAGTATTTATCAATAGGTCAGACAATAAATCAAGAATTTAACGGTAATGTTTTAAAACGTTTGTGTGAAGCAGTGAGAAGAAAACGCCTGAACTTTTGATTAAGTAGTGACTGGCTCCATCATTACGATAATGCGCCAGCGCATTCATCGAATCCTGTGCAACAGTATTTGACTATAAAATACAGTATCGTATTACTGTGACAACCTCTGTACAGTCTTAACATAGCCCCCTGTGACTTTTGGCTGTTTCCAAAACTGAAAAAAGCACTTGAAAGACAGCAATTTAATGACAAAACGACGGTTGAGAATAATGCAACGAGAGAACTTAAGATCTTCCATAAAAATAAGTTTCAAGACTGTTTCGAGAAGTTAAAACATCGCTGGAACCGTATCATTCAATCAAATGGGAATTACTTTAAAGGATACCATGCACCCGATGATGTAGAATAATTGCAGTGTGGAGTTGTAGAGGTAGGGCCGATACTTACTGGACCGACTTCGTATTATTTTAAATTTGCCAGTTTAGAACTTTTTGACATGTTGTTGTAAGTTAAATGTATTAAGGTAGTTGTACAGCAAATTGAAATATAGGATAGAAAATTATGATATTTTGCAGGATGGTAGATTAATGCATAAAAATAAGAAATCTAAATTTTTGTGACCCGAGGGTACCTATAAAGGGAGATATTCATAATTATTTGCATGCCTTGAGTTTTTGTTTACATGCCAATTCAACATGGCGTCTTATGGGAAACCGCGGAGCTGTCTGTATATTATCATTCATATCGTTGCTAATATAGGATAGGTTCTGATGCCCTTTGGACAGTAGAAAGATAATTAAATGACAATTATATATTCGCTTTCAAAACCTTCCAAGGGTACTTGTGAGAAAAGTAATTAAATAGTAAAGCGTGAAGAACGTGCATTTGTGAGACGCTATTTGAAAATATGGCAACGCCGCATAATCTGATATTACGCGCGCGGTTTGAAAGGTAAATAGGTACATATGNCAGGGCATTAATAATCTTCATGATGTTTGGGATGTGAGTGAAGGAGAATGCAATGTTTTGCTTGAATCAAAGTTTGAAAAACTGTACGAGAAAATTGATTTGACTCTGCTCAATCGTTTGCTACGCTTGATTGTTGACCATAATATTGCTGACTACATGACAGCTAAGAACAACATTGTAATCAACTATAAAGATATGAACCACATTAATAGTTACGGCATCATTCGAGGACTCCAGTTTTCGTCTTTTATAGCTCAATATTATGGACTCGTGCTGGATCTACTCGTTCTTGGCTTGCAACGAGCCAGTGAAATGGCTGGTCCACCCCAAATGCCTAACGATTTTCTTAGCTTCCAGGTTGGCTATTTTTTTTGTTTTATCATTTTCTTTGTTATGTTTTTAAACATCAAAATAGTTCAAGCTCCAGATACTGATATTTTTTCTCCATAAAATGTTAACTCGTTAAAAATGAAATATAAAAAAAAGTTTTTTTTGTTATTGATACAAAATGCTCCTTATATATAGTTTTTAAAATGATTACAATCATCGGAATAGTTTAAAGTTTAACACATTAAGACATGTACAATTCGATATGCACTGCTTTTTTTTTAATTCTAAAAAAATTGTAAAACCATATGAAAAATAATAACTTAAATGCAATTCAATCAGATTAACTACTAATTTTATAGGATAAAGCAACGGAAACAGCCCATCCCATTCGTTTATACTGTCGTTACGTCGACCGCATCCACTTGTTTCTTCGCTTCACTGCAGATGAGGCGCGCGATCTAATCCAGCGATACCTGACGGAGCACCCAGATCCGAACAATGAAAACATTGTCGGTTACAACAACAAAAAATGCTGGCCACGTGACGCGCGAATGCGACTTATGAAGCACGATGTAAATCTCGGACGTGCTGTTTTTTGGGATATCAAAAACCGTTTGCCTAGATCTACAACAACCGTTCAATGGGAAAATAGCTTTGTGAGCGTATATAGTAAGGATAACCCAAACTTACTTTTCAACATGAGCGGCTTTGAGTGCCGTATTCTACCTAAGTGCCGCATGACTCACGAGGAGTTTACGCATAAGGATGGTGTCTGGAACTTGCAAAATGAAAAAACAAAGGAGCGCACGGCTCAGTGCTTTTTACGCGTCGATGACGAAAGTCTACAGCGCTTCCATAATCGCGTCAGGCAGATCCTTATGGCTTCTGGCTCAACCACCTTTACCAAGATTGTAAACAAATGGAATACAGCCCTGATTGGTTTGATGACATACTTTCGTGAGGCAGTAGTCAACACTCAAGAACTTTTAGACTTGTTAGTCAAGTGCGAGAACAAGATTCAAACTCGCATTAAGATTGGTCTCAACTCAAAAATGCCCTCGAGGTTCCCCCCGGTCGTGTTCTATACTCCCAAAGAGCTGGGAGGTCTGGGCATGCTATCCATGGGTCACGTGCTTATCCCACAGTCCGACCTCAGGTGGTCCAAGCAGACTGACGTCGGTATTACTCACTTCCGATCGGGAATGAGCCATGATGAGGATCAGCTCATTCCTAACCTATACAGATACATTCAGCCTTGGGAATCTGAGTTCATCGATTCACAAAGAGTGTGGGCAGAATATGCCCTGAAAAGACAAGAGGCAAATGCTCAGAACCGCAGGTTGACTCTAGAAGATCTCGAAGATAGCTGGGATCGTGGTATTCCAAGGATCAATACACTTTTTCAAAAAGATAGACATACGTTGGCTTACGATAAAGGCTGGCGCATTAGAACTGAATTCAAACAGTATCAGGTAATATTAAAATGATATTTTAGACATTTCATGATGTATCTACATATTAATCTAGACCTTCTTAAACTATTTAAAATATATTTAGAACCGATGCATTGTGAAACATGGTAAAGTCCACATACCCTAACGTCAACCCAACCTTTTCTTTATTTAAATTTGCAATGCATATTTTTTTCTGTAAGTATAGAAAGTCACGATATATGTGACGTAGAAAGAATAGTACATTACGTACTAAGGTCAGAAAGTAAACAATCAACTGCTGATGTGGTAGTTTAGTCTCTGGCCTACGTGTGTATACGTTATGTTGCATGTACATGCTAAAAAGTTAAATTTTTTTTAATTTAAAATGAAAAAGAAGTACGTATACCCAGGTTAGCTACCAATGCTTAAAGCCAACTAAATCTCATATCTCTCGCCAATAATAATTCACTAATGAGAAACTTCTCTAAAGCTCAAATACACTTACTGATCTTTTAACATATGCTAATACAAGCTTTATTCAAGATTTACATTAACCTTACATTTTTCATCGAGAATGTCGAACAATCAAATCATCCAAATTATAGATCACCATTTACGTACATCATATTTTTTTAATTCACAAATCAAAACGAAATGCAAATCGTGAGACGAAATTTATGTAGTGAAAACCCTTACGTAGCGGATAGCGTACAAAAATAGTATCAATGTAATCTGTAGTGAATACAGTTTACGATGTAAATGCGCGGATCGAGTCAAATTACATTATATACAATGGAATGCATAGTGCTTCATTGCGACTTACTTACTCATTTTTATAACGATACTTCATATAAACTGAACATTATTTTTCTAAAAAGATTTGTTTAATTAACAGAAACATAAATCTTGCAAGGGACATCTAAAGTATACATGTTTACGTTCATGAAAACCAAAAAATGACAAAAATTAAGTCCTGTTTATTGAATTTCAAAAGTCACCATAAAAGTAGGCACAATAAGTCAAATTGTGTGAAGTGCGTTTAACAAAACTAGTCATAGAGTACAAAGAAGGAATACAGTAACCTCCCATACATGGCATTGGCTTATCAAGAACAGTATCAGAACAAACAACCTTTTTATATGGATCCATCATTACATATGAATCTCAATTAAAAGCTTTCAAAGTTATTTTTTAAACTTAAACAGTACAACAATGGGTAAAATCATCTTGACCATGACCATGTTGTGCTGTGGATAGTAAGTTGCCATCATAAACTAATTTTTCTAAAATAACATTCCACGATAGATCATTATGGTTCAGAAATTATTCAGCAAACAGCAACAGCATTTCTATTGCAATGGCAGTAAAAAACTATCTGAGCGTATTCTTTCAAATTTACATTTCTCTTAAGTACAATAAGTATAAGAAATAATTTATACTGCAATTTATAAGCTTTAAAAATCTATAATATCTAAGGAAACAAATTTAAAAAACTACTCAATAAGGACGATTACAGCATCCATTCGTATAAATTTCAAGAATGTGCCACTATCCTTGCGCTAAATGACCTTAAAAAAACCGCCTATTGCCTGGCAAGTACTTGCCAAGTGCATGCTACGCATCTATCTACTTGGTGTGGTTGGCTTAAGTAATATTATTGATTTTTTTTTTTTAGGTATTTTTTTTTTTTTTTTATTTTAGAGTCATTCTTTTAGATCTGTTCCCTATAGACTGTACAAATTTGAGCTTCCATGCATAAATTCAATCAGAAAAAAATTTTAATTTCAAGTTTTTGTCTTCGAGATTAAATTAAAGGGAATAAGGAAATCCATGCCACTGCTTATGATAAAGAACGTGCGTGATCTGTAGGTATTCTACTCAACCGAAGTCCATGTCATTTCTTGTTTTCACGAAATATCTTAAAAAAAGAAGTTAGCGAGAGAAAAGCTCTGTTATAACCATTAAAGAAGTCAAAATTTATCCATACAAGTTGGTCATATTAGGAGATGTAGTCAGCCATTGTAAATTAATAGATATCAAAAGTAGCATATAAATGATATTATCTGCTGTACGTGCATCGTACTTGTACGGCAGAAGAAAGTTCTGCGGTTATCGGTCCGTTGAATTTCTATTATATTTATGTTTAGACTTTCAAATAGAAAATAAGAAGTATGATTTCTTAAGTCAGTGGACTTATGTTCACTAACTAAAACAGTGCTATAATGTTAAAAATAACTAAATTCATTTGTTCTTGAAATATTATCATTAATAGTATATTAATTTCTCAGTCAACTTTCATTTTTGTTAACTTCTGTACAAGAAGATATGTTTCTGTATTTTTATCACAATCAACCTCCAATATGTCTTATTTAATATCTATTTTTCAATCAATTTGTTGCGGGGACTAGAGGCGTGGGGCCATGACCGGGGATGAGAAAGCATGAAGACGCTCGAAAACAAACAGCTGTTTTTGCGACATGGAAAAGGAAAAGGGAAAGTACAGCAAGAGTCAAAGAGGGAGAATGCGAGCAATATTCTGCAGAAGAGTTCCCTTTGGATCGGATTGACTAATTCAAAAAGGCTGGAGACCTGATCACTGGAATTTTTTTTTCCTTTTTTTCTTATCGCTCAGCCAATAACCCAATCACCTGGGCTTCAAGCCTCTCACCTCTGCTCGGTTCCCTCTTTCTGGCATTTATAAGTAAAAGGGTTTGTTTGATCTAGCAGATTGAACGAGTTCGAAAATTATCTTCTTGATGATTCCTCGTTGCTAAAGCAGTAAATTTCTCCTGGTGGCCTCCCAGACTTACACGTCTTTGTTTACTGATTGAATTGACTATCGTTCGTAAATTTTATTAAGATTCTTTATATTATCGTCGTACCGTGCCATCTAGCTGACACAACTCGTTGTTTCTGTGGCGCGTCAACAATTACATTTTTTGTAATGTATTACAATTGTTGATGAGAAGAGATGGATCAGTCCAATAAAATATATGTAGCAAAGGGATCAATGTCAACGTCCATTCGTTGATAGTCTCGATAAAAGGAAAATGGATCCAAAAGATCATTCGAATATATTTGCAGTTTAATTTTCTTTTGTGAGATCAGTACAGTCAAGGCGAAAATAACGCCGAAACTTATAAGTTTTTTCTTTGAACTGATTAGCGTTTTAGTTTATTGATTCTTATACAAAACTATGTTCAATTTCAGTATATCATGCGAGACCCATGTGAGAATGGGCATTTTCTTATAATTTATGCGATACCGAAGAAGAGATTATGTTTGCATTAAAACGAATTTGGTTGTAATTCAAATCGTTGATTTAACATGTTTATTTGAAGAAATACTTACAGATTGGGTAATAAATTTTGTTTTCTGATATTAAGTTTATTTAATTCTCGATGAAGTTGGTGTTAAGTTTGGTTTCAACGAATTTCGATGATAACGTTTTATTTTTTGTAAGCTTCACCACTGCATCAAGCTACACTTGTTAAATTGTTACACACCATTATACATTTAACTATATTTTAAGATTATTTTTCAATCATTTTTTATTTTTTTGCGCACCTGACCTTCCTGGTCTCAATCATATAGTTATTCCCCTATATTAAATAAATGCGTGTCGTGCCGCATGATAAAAATACCTTATCCCTTTCCTCGAAGAAATTGATACACGCATAACTATATAGACGATGCTAAAGAAAAACTTATCGAAGCAGAAAATGTTTTAAATGTGGGTCATTAAGTATTTATTTAGTAGGATCACCTCTGAAATTGGAAATAAAATCTAAAAAATGCCTTTTGTTTCAAAATTATATGAGCTATTTGAAAACCCCGTGAAGTGAAGACTGTGTTGTAGCTTGTAAAAAAAGGCTCACAACTACATTGTATATGTAGTTGAAAAAGGAGACTGAATGGAACATGTAAATACGATGGCACAATACTGATGTTTTTAACTAGGTATATATGTTATTTTTAATCCATTTTTAAACCTATAGATGCCTTAACATATTTTATAATGGTATAAAACCTAAAAGGTTATGCCTCAAAATAAAATATGATCCACATTTTCAATATTTTGTCCTTGTATAAGCTTTCTTTTACTATTGTCTGCAAAATTAATGAAATAAAAAATAGACGTCAAATAAGACATGTTGGCAGTTGCTCTTGCTATACGTTTGAACAGATGGTTGCATGCCACTTGGGTTCTATTTTAATCTTCCAGGGCAGCGCTACTAGTGAGTTAACATTACGAGTGGATAGTACGTCTTTGTCATTTGCTTAGTTAAGTGAAGCTAACGCCACGTAGCGTCTCAGTATGTTACTGAGAACGAGGTGAGTAGAAAAAAATCGATTTAGAAAATGCTTGAAAATTATTAGAAAAGTAACCTATAATTTTCTCCAGCTGTAAATAAACTATTCTTACGTTTTTTGATTTCATATAATTTATAGTAATTTTTCGTAGTTGTATAATAACCATATTAAGTTAACACAATTTATATACCCTGGTGTGGTTGGCTTAAGTAATATTATTGATTTTTTTTTTTTAGGTATTTTTTTTTTTTTTTTATTTTAGAGTCATTCTTTTAGATCTGTTCCCTATAGACTGTACAAATTTGAGCTTCCATGCATAAATTCAATCAGAAAAAAATTTTAATTTCAAGTTTTTGTCTTCGAGATTAAATTAAAGGGAATAAGGAAATCCATGCCACTGCTTATGNCCAAGTATTACATAATTTAACGACTTGCGTCTCGCACCGAATAAATTATCTCGGTGTACAAAACTCCAAACCCAAAACCCATCCATAGTAGTCTAACTGAACCTTTTCTCATTCTTTCCTTTTCTTATTGAATTTCTTAGGAAGTGTTTCTGGGAGCTTATTTGACTTATAATCTTTTGAAAAAACTCATTTTATTTTAATGTGAGATCCAGTACAACCCTTAAGAAACATAATCAGCCGTTGTTTGCACATTATGCTTTACGATCCACTAAAAAATCATTACAAACGTATATTTTTTATAAACATTTGTAAAAACATACTAAATAAGACATCGACCTTTTCAAATTTTGTTGTGCTTACAACAACTTTAAATTGAGCAATTTGGAGGCAAGTTGTAACTGACTGCTTACTAACTGCTAAAAACCGTATAAAACCCCTTTTCTTG